AGAAAATTAATTTTCTGAATCACAAAAAAAGAAAAACATGAATGTGTGAACCATTACTTAGTCCCTGTTGCCATAATAGATTATAAAACATTTCCAATGTTTCCTAGTCATTATGGTTGTTATGATAAATCTTACTCCTAAATGTGTTAAAACAATAGATCACGATTATAAATGTCCATTATGTTATATATACATAAATATATATTATACATGTTATGTTGCTATCAAGATTACCATTACTAATATATTACTACAATTAATGTGAAATATAGTAATTAATGCGAGTTTCGAGGTGTTTTAACTGCGAAATGTTATAAATATTAATGTGTAATTGTCATGACACTGTGTAAGCGCAATGGTTTTTTTTCCAATTATTAACAATTATTAGGCGATACGTATAGATAAATCGCATCGATAATAAAATGAAGATAAAAACAAAATGCTATATTAATCATCAATAATATCTCTGCAGCAATGATAACAAGTGAGATATCCATAATATGCATTAGATACACGGCGTTGCATAAACAAAGGCGCTCCGATGTAGAATCTGTTACATTATTATGTTCAATGCAATACATAAGCTGAACTGTAATAATAAAAGCATATATAAGCATAAAAATCACATGCATGCATTGTCATTTTTCTTTTATATCCTGATACATCCTCATCAGTGGCATATCTTTATAATATATACAAATTTCCTGAATAGTTAAAAAGAGTTACATACAAAGATAAACTTGAATGTTATTAGCATTAATCAATTTTTATTTTTATATACGAGTCTAAAAGAGTGAGTACACATGTTAGTTAATAATTTCTACAAAAATAAAAAAGATAAAATAGTGTAAAGAAAAACATTGATTAATTTAAATCGTATACTACATATTTTATAATTATTATCATCACACGTACATATTAAAGATAGATAAACAAGTTACATGACGTAGAATTTAAATTAACGACTTGTCGAGTTCTGTATTGAGAGAACAATTCCGATACATCCCGGCGCGACCGAGTTCGTCGCTGAAAGAATGGCTCTGGGGATAATAAAACGTCGGCACTGTATGAATTGTCGGTGCGTACCAGCCATAATCCATAGAAGTTCTCCAGTAGCTAGGATGAGGAGGATTCTCTTGGCCGTAACCTTTAAAAATTTCTGAAAAACGTCAAAAATCGTTAATGATTAATAAATAATAGACAGTACATCATTTTCCATAATATTTACGCATGCATATTCAAAAAAGAATTTTATCAAATAAAATTTTCAATACAAAGAAGCAAAGAAAGCCATATTCGGTCAAAGTGCGTCTTTTAGTGCCTTATAATATTTTTTTTATAAATGTTACAATTTTCATTTTAAATTAACTGCGCACCGATTAGAGTATTAGACCCATCTTGATCGAATATGGCCTTCTTCATTTATTTGTATTTCTCAGTCAATTTAATATCGTTAAAATAAGATAAGTTATTATACATGTAGATTTTTATAATTAATAGTCATAATCATGTTGATACATATTCGGCCATCTTAAATCTTTTTATAGATCTTTGAAAATAAAAATACTATTTATGTGTGTTATTTTTGTGTGTGTATATCACTGTTATATAATATAATATAATATAATATTTTCAGTTTTCTCGGACGTATATTTATGAATACAAAAATATCTCGCTTACGAGCTTTAGTCGGTTCCTGGAATCTATGAATCAATCTCTGTACAGTCGTACGGTATCTGATACGCTACGCTATTGCACTGATATTGACCGTGAACTTTTCCAAAGTCGTCTACTAACGAGCCGCGTACTTTGAAGCCGGGATCCACAGTTACGTTTCTCATTCGCACGAATGCTGCCATGTCCACATAACGGAGGTCGTTGTTGTTCAAGAAGAGAAATAGTAAATTATCTAGACCCTGAAAGGTGTCGGACTTCAACACTGTCAACTGATTGCCGTTCAGCCAGAGCGAGTTCAGTGACTTCATGTTCCGAAAGACATTGGCAGGAATTGTTCTCAGTCGATTCCTACCCAAGTCAAGCTCGTTTATCTCGCTGAGACCGCGGAACACATCGGGGTGCAAGATCGAGATCTTGTTGCGCGACAGATAGAGAAGGTCTATATGGGATAGCCCATTGAACGCGCCGATCGGTATCTCCGCTATGTCATTCGAATCCAGGACCAGCGTTTCGAGCTGTCTGAGTCCCTTGAACATGTTTCTCCTCAACGTGAGTCGATTGTTGGTGATGTAGAGCTCGTGCAACTCTGAGAGACCCTTCCACACGCCAGGTCGCAAGTCCGAGATGTTGTTGTAATCCAGCAGCAGAGTCTCTAGATTACACAAACTCACGAAAGCACCATCTTCTACGTTGGTGATCGTATTATTTTTCAAGTCCAAATAAGTGAGCTGATCGAGAGCGTCGAAGTAATGCCGGTCGATACTCGATAGCCGATTATCGCGGACATAGAGAGCGGACGAGTTGCTGACCTCGATGAAAGCGTTCCTGGCGATGTTAACGATGCCGAGATTCTCCAGATGTAATTCGATATCCTCAATCGTCTGAACAGCGTTGACGTCCTCGAAAGCGACGCTGTGAAGAAAACTGCTGTTCTCCAAACAGACATACAGGTGGTTGTAAACCTGACAGTCGGCGTCCTCCGTGAAAACATCCGCAACGTTACCCGATAAGAGAAGATAAATGAGAAGGAGGAAGCACATGGTGTGCTCGGAGGCTGATTGTGCACTAACTTCGTACGCGTCAAAGTTTCTTCGCGTACACAACGTTTGCGAGATATTATTACGCACGAATATATATATATATATATATATATATATATATATATATATATATAT